TGTATTCTATAGCAATTCTAGATATTTCTCTCATCCTCCACCCATTACCAGAGCTTGTTCTCTTTTGCTTTTTCATCCTTAGTAAGTTTGCTAGACTGAATGTTACTAAAATTTATGTTCCCCTGCTCTAAAATCTCTAATGGTAGCCCTCAAAAGGTATAGTCTATTTTATATGCATTGTCATCCTAAGATTTTATTTGAGGTCTGTTAGATTTTCTATTTTCTTGATCAGTCTATAAACTAATTATCCAGTTCTGGTATCACATTCAACTATGTATTATGCTCACTTATTTACAGATAATTGTGCTTTTATTTTCCAAAAAACCTTTGAACATCAATTACTTTACCATCTGATTTAATTAAATTTGGAGTCCTTACTTCAAATATACAATACATTATCATTAACTATAGTCACTGTGATGTATATCAGATCTTTAAAACTCATTTACCTTATAACTAAAAGTTTATAGCTTTCACTTAGTAGATCCACATTATTATCTCTGTGAATTTGTTAAGAGAGACTACATTGTTATTTAAACACATGCACAGGCAGTTTTATGAGGTGATAGGTTAATAAGCTTGATACATCAATTAATTCTGTTGTACACCTCAAAAACACACAATCTTTGTCAGCCATATCTCACAAAAGCAGGAAAATTAATGTAGACTCTCTAGCAAAGAGAAGTTTCGAGGCCAGGCTTTGAGGTTTATTCTGTGCCCAGGAAGGTCATTCTCAGCTGTCTTATCTCCTGGCTTTCTCCGGTAAAATACTTGACCTATTGTTTAATTGATTGTTTTCATGGAACAAAGAGGTTCTTCATAATTTCTCATCACCAAAGTCTACATTGCTTTTTTAAAAAAGTACAATAACTTGAATGTTCTACACACTGTTCTGAATAAACTAGTTCATTTGTGTAGATGTTTGGAGTTCTCTGTTTATTGGCCTAGAAAACCTAGATAAATAAATGAAGATAAAACTATTTTAGTCTTGTAGATAAATAAATGTAGAGAAGATATTTTAGGTTTGCAAAGGAAATTAAACTTAGTGAAAATTATTTTAGACACTTTCCCAAGTTAAAATGGTTGTTACTGGTATTTAATCAAGCACTGGTATCATACTATTAAAGATATTTATATTTTTATTTATCTACAATGTTGGAACTTCCAGTAGTTTATCAAAAAATTCTGATATAACATTGTAGACTAATGTTTAGCTGGCATTATTTAAAGAGAAAACAATATTTTTACTGTAATTAATGCAGGAAATAAACACAATGCTTCATAAGAAAACACTTATGGAGATGACTTAAGGAGATGAGCAAACTTTAGTTTCTCAAAAGAAGCTGAAGACCAGTATACTCCAAAGCAATATGGGAGGTAACAGGCTTATCCATAACCTCCATACCCACCATAGCTGCCACCATAGCTGCAGGCAGGCCTCCATAGTAGGTGTTGGAGAAGCTCATGGGGTCAGGAGTGGAAGGCTCAGCTGTAAAGCAGAGTCAAAGTCTAGAGTTTTAAAGTTCATATTCTACAGAAGCCTTTATTACCAACTTCGTGGTATGTGGGGCAAACCACAGGCACTATTGCATTCACACTCCAAACTAATTGGCATTAAAGCCATCTGAAATGTTTCTCATAACAAGTACACCCAAGACAATGCTGCTGTTTGTCAGAGTGTCTGCAATAAAAATCATATGCCTTTAATGAAGGATGCTTCTCCTTTGCTGGTGGCTTGCCTATTTCAAATGCCAGATTTAAGGTAATGATTGCCTACCAGTAGATCATATAACACACATTCCTGTTATTAAAATTTCTAATTTTACTTAGTAATCTCCTCCTTCCTATATACTACAATACTGGGCTTGAGAACAAAAATGGGACCTCAAAATGCGGGAATATTAAAGAGACTTCATGTGAAATCATTTGCTTATAAAATATTGATTAATGAACTATTTTATTTCTTTCTGTGTGTAGAGAAATATTATTCACTTTGGCTTATACTTCATATGTACATGTATTTATCAGTTCGTATATAATCTAACACCATGTACACACCTTGATGTTTAATATTTATCCTGAATATGTAGAAAGGAAATGATTTATTCTACAAGAAACCTGAGAATGAAAGTAGATGGAAAGAGCTGTTAATGCCATGAACCCATGGATGTGGACCACAGAAAAACTCACTTCTCTTCTCACATTCTTGCCAAAATGTATAACTGTGATATAATTATAAGAAAACTTTAGATACATTAGAATTGGGGAACGTTCTGCAGAATATCTGAACTTTGGAATCATCAAGGGAATGAATAATGAAAGGATTGAAAATCTGACCTATTGGACAAGATTGAAGAGATAAGATCTCCAAATGCAAGGTGAGTTTGATGCTGCAACAAAAATAAGAAGAAAAATATCATTAAAAATGGTGAAGTCTATAGGTTAGTGGTATAATATAAAGTCAATTTATTTGGTTGATAAAATACTGTGGTAGATGTTACTATTAGGAGATCCTGAGTGACATACATCTACATATCTATATATTTGCATTCGGTAAAATGAAAATTAAGATTAAATTTGGAGAAGAGTGTAACCAAAATGACCAATATTATAGAGTTTACATCAACACTAGAGACTATCAGAGAGGCAAACATTTAGCTGTGCACTATGAAATTTGGTAGGAAAATATGAAGAGAACAAAAGGAAGGGCATTTAGTGGAAACAGCTGGTGAGGTTGGAATTAAGGCAAGTATCATGTGGTAGAATGAAGATATAGGTTGCAAAATATTTCAGGAATGAAAAAAAGAATTTGGTGAATCCCTGTGTTGCTCAGAAACTGAGAATAACCGTGTCTCAATGTCTGAATTTGACAAGATTGCGATTTTGATGATCCCTACAAGAACAGTTTTCTAGAGTAGTAAGAACCAAAGTTGAGAGAGAGAGAGAGAGAGAGAGAGAGAGAGAGAGAGAGAGAGAATATGATTTAGAATGCTAGTACAAAAATTCACTGAGAAAGTTTTGCTAGAAAGTAGAATACAGAAATGATGATTAAATCAGATTGGAATGATGATATATAGCTTCTTTTAAAATTATGAATATATGTGAAAATGAGTATATTCACAAAAACACACCAGAAAGTTGTTTTAAAAAGAATGTGATGTAACGGTACAAAGTTTCCTCTGCTGTGATGAGCTAGAACAACTCAATTATTTGGAAGAAGGAAATTAATCCCTGGAAGTAAATTGTAAAGAAAAAAAATACCAGCAAATGTTGTTAACAGGTACACTACGTTGAACAAAATAAAATGTGTCAATACCTACTTTAATAAAATACAAACAAGATTAATTATGTTTGCTTTTTTAATTGCTGGATATATACCAAAATGAGGTGATTTTCTAGAATTTAAATAGCCTAGAGTAAAAATAATCCCGATGTTACTTCAACTAGTTTTTAATAAAATTTAAGTATAGTTTTTAATAAAATTTAAGTTATTGTTCAATTGATTCTGCACTGACAGTTAAGGCTATTTATATTTTTATATTAGATATCTGAGTAGGAAAAAGTGAAGATATTCTTCTTTGCAAATATCTCAGTCTAGCAAATAGTGACTAATATGTTACAAATATTAATCAATTTAACAAATACATACCTACTGAGAAACACGCTAAAAATATTCAAAAACTCATGATGGGTGAATAAATAGATGGATATTTTTATTTAATTACTTGTATAAATTTTTTGTTTTATTAGGTCTCTACTTTCTTTTGACACATTTGAAATAGGTGAAACAAATTTTATGTAATTTTAAAAAACATATGTCCTTATCCTGATGATCACTACAAGAGAATTAATGAAAATACAAAGTGTGTCTAACACCTTAAAATCTCTTCACTGCTATGTAAACCATTTCAACATTCAAATATCAAAATCCTAATTAAAGATATCTGAAGGGAATGATAAAGTAAAATTTTCATTAGAAACCTTTGTGATGTCAGAAATACAATTAGAATATCAGAAATCTATGTGGAAGTGTAAATAATGCTGCCTACCAACATATATTTAATAAAAGATGGAGAGGTATTTTTTAAAATTTTAGTATAGATCAACTTCCTCCACTTTTCTTTGGTTCCCCAGTAGGATAGTTAATCATACTACTATGAAATTTGACAGAAATAATCTGTTGTTATGGATTAGAGCTTGGCATGCCAGAATACAAAGAATTCCAAATGGATGTTTTGAGAAACAGTTCTGACTCATTTATTGATGAATCAAAATGCATGATATTAAACCAATTAAGTAGTTACTTAAAATATTAACTAACCACTATGGGCAGAACTTAAACACCAAGAAATGCAGAAACTGGATTCCAACACATAACAAATTTCTTGTTCTTCAAGAGAAGTTGAATATAAGTAGGAATGTAGAATGTGTTTTGTTCAGATTTGGCTCTCTTGAATTTTTAATTGGGTGAATTATTATCAACAGTATAGGTACGAAAGATGTATTTTGGTTCAGTATAGAAAAGGAACTTAGATTTGGAGGAAGATAACTTGGATGAAGAGAGAAGAAAAGTCCTAAGGCAAAATCAATGTTTTCTTGCAAAGGGTTAAAAATTAGTGAAGCTATTGGGCTCAAGAGCAAGAAAGACTATAACAAAGGCTGATAATATGCTACTGCTGTATAAATGACAGACACAGGATGTCCAATTGAATTTATAGTTTTCATGAGGTTGAACATGTGCCTCCTCTCTCAATAAAAATCTCAATTGGATTCAGAAAGTCAAACTTCAGATGTCAAAGCAAAACTCTTTAACACCTCATGCTTTTTTATCTTATAGTTGACAAACAACCAAATAATTAGATTAGTCATTTAACTATATGACAAGTGATGAGTGCTACACACATGGAAGGCATATAAAAGGCCCTCTGCAGTGAGAATTGTCCAGACTCAAGTCACCTACACTCCCCCTCTACCCAAGGACAACCTCAACAACCAACACCATGTGTGGCAGCTACTACGGAAACTACTATGGCGGCCGTGGCTATGGATGCTGTGGCTGCAGAGGCCTGGACTGTGGCTATGGCTCCGGCTATGGCTGTGGCTATGGTTCTGGTTATGACTGTGGCTTCCGTGGGCTGGGCTGTGGCTATGGCTCTGGTTATGGCTGTGGCTTCCGTGGACTGGGCTGTGGCTATGGCTCCGGCTATGGCTCTGGCTATGGCTGTGGCTCTGGCTACGGGTCTGGATTTGGCTACTACTACTGAGGACAGCATCAGAGATTCTCATCTTCTTCATCTACAATATCAAGATTCACAGTTTCTGAAACTCACGTGTTCTGAGCCTCATGCTTGGGTGGTTCTATTATATCACATGTTTTTGAAGACTTGCTCTCTAGTGCTCTCCACATCTGACACAGTACTTTGGACTTTTCCCTCCCTGAATTTATCTGTTGAAAATTAAGAGAACTTGAAATTCATCGTGAACCCCTCTGCAGTTTCTCTTTGGGTGGATGTCCTCACAACTTATGTATTTTTATTTTCTTGTATGACCTATTCTACTGTTTTTCTAATAAACTTTTTAATATCCTAAAACTGTCTTAATTTTCTTTAACATCCAGTATTTAAGTTTTTCCCTGTTCGCATTAAAGAAAACAACTGCCTTCTTTAGGATATATCTGCTTTAATGGTTCTACTTCCGTTGACTTATCAAGTCTTTGATATGTGACATTAAGAAGGCAACAATCTTTGAAGTCCTCGATTTTCTATTTAAGCAGTGATGATATGTTCTCTGGAATTATTGTTAAGACAAAGAAGATAATATTTTGCACTTTAGTTAAGAATTGGCTTGAAATAAAGCCTCTAACAAACATTTAACATTGAACATTAGTGTGTATGAAATCCCTTTCAAGATATACATATTTATGCATAATTCCTACCTGGAATCTTTGGTTTGGGTATATTTAGGCAAGAAATGTTTTTGTGTTTGTCCATCTCAATAGATAGAGAAGTTCAACATGACCTAGGTTGTTCACACTTAACTTTTACATGCCTTAGTTTGGTATAAATTTTGTTTTTAAAAGGTGAAGTCCTCTATAACACCCATGATGTATTTAAGTTTAGAACCAATTGAGGGCATTCTACATTCTTTGTCTTAAGATATTTCTTTCTTGTGATTTGCAGTTTGCAGTTTGTAGCAATAGTCATTTGCTTTTCCAATAGATTTTGTGACTCCTATCTGTACATTTGGCAATTAAATTTTCTTGATATGGAATTTTTATATCTCATGCTGCATTTTAGCAAATTTAACTACAATATTTAGTTTTTGTCTTTTCTTTCCTTTTAAAATATCTTATTTTTATTAGTACATGTCTGCAGTACATATTAATTACATTCATCATGGGGAATTGGCACATGTACACAATACATCTTAAGTATTTTGTTATATTTAAAGAAGTGTCTATGATCTAACTAGGTTTTTTTTTGGTAAAAAAACAAGTTGTTTTTATTTTTTGTTTGTTTGTTTTTTGGTATCAGGGATCAAACTCAGGACCTTTTGCTTGAGAGGGAGGCTTGGTTCCAGTGAGATAAACCCCCAGCCCTGATCTAAATTTGTTTTTAATTCTTTTATTGGTACATTTTAGGTATACAACACAATTACATTTCTCATTGGGAACTTGTACTTTTACATGATGCATCTTGGTTCTTATTTTTTCCCCATTCTTAGCCCTCCCTTCACCCCCTCCAACCTTCCCT